TGTGTATATGTGCTCTCTATATAGATATATGTGTGTGCTCTGTGTGTGTGCTCTCTATATGTGTGTGCTCTCTATATGTGTGTGCTCTGTGTGTGTGTGCTCTATTTATGTGTGTGTGCTCTGTGTGTGTGCTCTCTATATGTGTGTGCTCTATGTGTGTGCTCTGTGTGTGTGTGCTCTCTCTATCTACGTGTGCTCTGTGTGTGTGTGCTCTATATATGTGTGCTCTATGTATGTGTGTGTGCGCTCTCTATCTTTATGTGTATGTGTGTGTGCGCTCTCTCTATATGTGTGTGCTCTGTGTATGTGTGTTGTGTTCTCTATATGTGTGTGCTCTGTGTGTGTGCTCTCTATATGTGTGTGTGCTCTGTGTGTATATATGTCTATGTGTGTTCTCTCTATGTGTGTGTGCTCTCTATATATGTATGTGCTCTGCGTGAGTGCTCTCTCTGTACGTGTGTGCTCTGTGTATGTGTGCTGTCTATATATGTGTGTTCTGTGTGTGTGTGTGTGCTCTCTCTATATATGCGTGCGCTCTGTGTGTGTGCTCTCTCTATATATGTGTGCGCTCTGTGTGTGTGCTCTCTCTATATATATGTGCTCTGTGTGTGTGTGTGTGTGCTCTCTCTATATATATGTGCTCTCTGTGTGTGCGCTCTCTCTATATATGTGTGCTCTGTGTGTGTGTACTCTGTATATGTGTACTCTGTGTGTGTGTGCTCTCTCTATATATGCGTGCTGTGTGTGTGTGCTCTATATATGTGTGCTCTGTGTGTGTGTGTATACTCTCTCTATATATGCGTGCTGTGTGTGTGTGTGCTCTATATATGTGTGCTCTGTGTGCGCGCGCGTGCGTGCTCCCTATATGTGTGCGCGTGTGTGTGTGCTCTATATATGTGTGCTCTGTGTGTGTGTGTGCTCTCTCTGTATATGTTTGCTCTGTGTGTGTGTGTGCTCTATATATGTGTGCTCTGTGTGTGCGTGCGTGAGCGTGTGCTCTCTATATATGTGTGCGCGTGAGCGTGTGCTCTCTCTATATGTGTGTGCTCTGTGTGTGTATGTGTGTGTGTGTGTGTGTGCGCTCTAACGTAGATCACAGAGCAGGAATTCGACCGAGGGGATACCTTTCTCACTCTGCCTAGCGATCGCCAAGTTCTGTCACTTTTTTGGGAAAGTTTTATATGTAGGGGGCACACCACGTGGGGAGATCCTCGTATAACAGGCTCTTTAGATTCAGTTGCACAGCTTAATTAACTGTTTTACTGCTGTGTTTGTGTGTGCGCGAGAGAGAGAGAGAGAGAGAGAGAGAGAGAGAGCGCGAGAGAGAGGTGGGGGAACCCATTCACAGTGCAATTAGTCTTTTCTCCCCCCAAATATGTCTAAATTATTCCTCGGGAAAGGGAGAGGTTGATGCTGAAAGGAAAGTGTAAAGGACTGGTATATATATCAAGTGCACAAAGCACAGGACCCACTCAGCTTTACATACAGTACTGTTGTCTTCTTAAGTACAGTCCTGAATGAAAAACGCACATTTAAATCTCTCTACACATTGCTGTAAATTGCTGTGATTCTCAGTAATACAGCACAAATAATAATAATAATAATAATAATAATCCTTGAATTTGATATAGCCCCTTATCACGTCTTTGAGACTTCTCAAAGCGCCTTCGCAGGATATACTGTAACGTGAATGTTTTGTGGGAGAAACAGCCACAAACAGCCGTGGGATTCAGTGACCCAATTATTATCATTGGTTTTTTTTGAAGGGATTATTATCCCCGGCCGGAGCGATCCGCCAATCGACTAACAAGCGGGTTCCTACTTACTGTTAGGTAAACAGAGACGTGCCCAACGTTTCGCCCCGCCCCGCCCCGCCCCGCCCAGGAATCAAACCCAGGTCTCTCTCGCTTGCCAGGCGAGCGCCCGAACAAATATGCTGCAAGACTCCACATTCTTAGGAACTACCTATCGCAGGAAAACTCTCTTTACTGTCGATGATACGCAGCACAATTCAAGTGCAATAGGCTTTACTCCTACACCCCCCCCCACCCACCCCACACACACTCACACAGAAATAATATATACGTCCCTTTTCTATTTTAAATTTACAGCTTTTCTTTTGCGGGATCTCCGCTTCGTTTTTTTTTTAACCCGGAGCAAGAATAAAGAAGGGCTGCTTTTTGGTTTTTTTTGCTTCGCTTTCAGACCCCAACTTGCACTTGCGTTATGGGAATGGGGGCGAATAAAACGCTGGTGGGTTTATGTCGGATTTACCGATTGATCCAAGCCACGGTCTGGCTAAACCGCTGGTGGTCTGGTCATGGGTGAGGGTCAGGTCGGGTCAGGTCAAGTGCGGTTATCAGGCAAACAAGCTTCTCTTTAACCTTCTAACCCTGATCCCTTGGTTGAACCTCTTCTCCAGCAGAGAGAGCGAGAGAGAGAGAGAGAGAGAGGTGTCCAACTCAGGTGGTTGTCTCAATCGAGTTCCTGCCCTAAAGGA